TTTTTCATAATTGTGATTTGTAGTTTGCAGTTGTGTTGAATTTAGAATGGTCCTTCATTGTCAACCTATTTTTCTTTCATACATAGTTGAAGTAATGACATATGTGTCATGGAAGCTGAGCGCGTTTCCCAAAAGCAGAGTTATTGGAGTAGGTGCCAACCTAGATACTGAGAGGTTTCAGTATATACTGACAAACCTTTTGAAAGCTGAAGTGCTGGCAAAAGATGCTTGGATTATTGGTGAACAAGGGGAAGACAAAGGTAAAGTGATCCTTTATTATGACTATGAGTATATAACCTCCTGGCAGTGCTTAAGTAATTGAGTAGTTAAAGAATAATTGAGAAAAGCAATGAAGGTAGTCATGTGCACAGTGGTAGATTTCCATAATAATGGTTCTAAATAATACAATTCTGGTGTGTGCCGGAGACTGTAGACCTGGAGTGGTAGGAAAAGTATTTGACATTTGTCACAGTAAAAAAAAAAAAAACAAACTAGAAAATACAGCCTCAAATGCTTTTTATTTGGTATAACTATATATTAAAGGTTTGGAAAGAGGAAGGAAATGTGGTATAACATATGGTAGGTTACTGCTTATTTAAGAATTACTACACATTACTTCATTTTTAAGCAAGTGTCCCTGGCCAAGTTCTACTATAGAGTTTATATTTCAGCAGTCCAGGGGATCTTAGAAGGTTATCAACTACATTTGGGTTGTTGGCGGGGAAGGAAATTCTGGAAAGCCTCAAATTTATCTTTTTTTTTTTTTTTTTCTTCTCCCCACCTTATCTGGCACCTATTTTAGTCACTCATTAGATGTGCATTTAAATATTGGTTGTTTCTATTTAGTATCATCATGGACCAGTTGTAATTTAGTTGCAAATCAAACGGAAGCAATGGCTACTCGTACCTCAAGGGAAAAGGTGGCTAACAGGTAACACCATTATAATCGTAATATTTTTTTGTTTGTGTTCAGGCACTTGATGTTTGCAGTGTTTTTTCCTTCTGCCCTTTTATGAAGGGGAGGAAGTTTGCTCTAAAATGTTCATGCATTGAGTTTATAGGAAATTGTAGGTCTGGGTGTCATTCACTTTCATATACGTGTATATGACCATTGTTTTTTTGAAGTTCTCAACAATGTTGTGCCTGTGATGATCTAAGGACGAGACAATATGCTAGAATATTAAAGCTGCCAGTTGGATTGTGGGTTTTTTTTAAAAAATAGTAGACAAGCCTTCTGGCACACTTTCCTTGGAGGTTGTGTGGAAGCAGTTTACTTTAAAGCAAAGTATATGTTTGGATCGATTCACCTGATTTAATTAGCCACATATCAGTTATAGCTCTTGACAGAAAAGAGAATTGTTATAGTGTGGGTAAAATATACATAGAGAAATTCTTTAAAGCAATTCTTAATTACCTTCTGTTGTTTTCCAAAACAGAGAATCATGGTTTATAGTACGCGTTACCTGATACGGTACACATAATCTGTCTTTTGGGTTTTATATATAAACCAAAACATGAATAATTAAAATCTAAACATCGTGTTTTTCTCCTTTTCCTGGTTTATATAGAGCAATGGAAGTTCTAAAGGGAAAAGGTCAGAGATCTTGGTCTGTTGGGCTCTCGGTTGCTGATTTGATTGATAGTATACTGAAAGATAAAAGAAAGGTTCATTCTGTATCCACCCTGGCAAAGGTAAATGTGTTACTCATATCTTTTGGTTGGCACTGTAATTATATTATTTATACTGGATATGACCATTAATTTTAGCAAGCACTGACATCTCGCTTAAAGTAACTGTTCTGAAGTAGCACAACTTCCGTTAGTTTATTCCAACAAAGCTTTCGATTCTAGGCCGAAAATGAACAAAAATCAATTGTTGTGTTAATCTGAAACGAATATTAAAAGTGAACTGTTACCCAAAAATAAAAGTCCAGGGGGAAAAATACGTTCAAGGTTGCTGACCAGCTCCCCTGGAATAGCTGTATGTGGCAAATGAAGAGAAATGTGTGTGTCACAGTTTCCAAGTGCTTTTTCCAGGGCCAAAAGAGTTCAGTATCTTATATGAAAGTATAAAATGCATTTTCTGCCAGTATTTTATTTCACCAGCTTTGAAACAGCTGCTTTTTTACTCCTTCTTACTTTAGATTGAGAAGAGTGTGAAGCTATATTTAACTTAAAACTGTAGCCTGAAGCTTGTCTAAAGTTTATCCTAAGAGGCTTCATTAAAGGATTAAGTCATTTCATATGAGGAAAAAACCCACGTAGAAACATTTACTGGTCACTTGTATTTACAGGCTTCAGAAGGGTGATTTGCATGTCCCGGTGCAGGGAAGTTGAGCAGACTGCTTATTTTGTCAAGTACAGACATACACCTCATTTCATCATTGTGTTTTCAAGTAAAGTTTTTGTTTATGAACTAAATGCAGATATAGGAGTGACAAGTTTCTTAAACTGCAGAGTAACTACAGAACATAAATTTTCCCATACAGATCTTAAAAATAAACAAAATCTACAGCGTAAACTTGAATTTATAGGGATGTGAGTTTAATATTCTCTCTCAGAGATTGAATATGGGATCAGTACTTGAAAAATATTCCCTGGATAGTGCTCTTTGGCTGCATTTTTCAATTTGTTTTGTTCCCTTCTAAAAGAACTAATGATGCTATACTATCAAGTGTCCCTGCTTGTCCTACCGAAGAAACTGATTAAATGGTGTTTTGTAGCATAGGCTTTTTGCCTGCATTGTAGAGGTCTGATATATCTCTATCAGAAGACCCCTCAAAGTGTGGCATGGTTCAAGATTTTTTTATCTGTACAGTAATATTTTACAATTTCTATGCAGTAAGCCATGGCAAAGGATCTAAAATAACTGGAATTTGACCTATACAAAACATGCCATACGATGGAATACCCTTGCTTAATTAAAATAATCAAGTTATTTTGTGTAGTTCCATGCTTCAGACGGAGCAGAAATAAGTAACTGTGTGACCATCGTCTTTGCGTGCTGTTTCAGGGATGTTGCAGTATAAACAGTGAAGTATTCTTAAGTTTACCGTGTATTCTTGGAACCAGTGGAGTGATTGAAATGGTCAAACTAGAAGAAGACCCACTAGCGCAAGAGAAACTGCAAAGCAGCGCAGGATCAATTCATGACCTTCAGCAGCAACTGAAACTGTAAGCAAGCCCAAGGGAAGCCCCAGTGTCTGCTCACGGCAGTCGGAGATTTGCTAGGCCGAAAGGGCTGCTTCGTATATATGGATTTCTATGTAAAACAAGAAATTTTTTTACTTTACTTTCAAAAAGTGCTTTCTCAGTTTTAGTTTAAATTACTTAATACTGCACTGCACAGTAATTTCTTATTTGAACAGTGCACTTCTGGTAGCCTAAATGAGGAGGGTAGCATGCAAGAATGTTCTACCTAAATTCAGGTGACACTTGCCTGTGGTTTTTGGTTGCTAATTATAGCCTGATTCTTGGGTTATTCTTAGCTCTTTGCACCTTTGCATTAGGATGCAGTCTAGCAGAGCAGCTTACCCAGCTCTGCGGAAACTCCAGTGTGCAGAGCCAACTAGAATACTTCCTCCTGGTTTTTAAATGCTGCATTAGGGGCTAGTCTAGAATACGGTCACGCTCCAGCTCTGTGGGGCACTGGGGGACGCAGTTCGACAGCTCGATCCTTCTTGCCTAGCACAAATGCTCTTAAGCCAACGGTCTCCTGCTTATTACTAAGGGGAAGAAAGGTGAAAAGCATGACGTCTCCAATATCCTTCAAACCTGAAGTATTGGATGTGAATTTCTGTTCTATGTTTACTGATGCCTGAGACGGTCCAGTCATGACTTGTTTGCTCTTGATTTTGTAAGGATGTTCAGAGCACTAAAGCATCTGCAGTTCTGGGTACGTACATGCGAGACACTTACCCAGTGAAGCGTTGGAACAGGTCCTCTTCCTGAGAGAGAGGAGAGGAGCAGGGAGGGGCGCTTTAAAATAAGACTGAAATCTGGCAGTTAAGTAATGCAGAAGTATCTGTGAGTTCAGGCCTTGACCCAAAGCCAGCTGATGTCAGTAAGCTTTGTGTCAGCCTGAGGAGAATCCAGCTGCTTGAGGAGGCACCTGTAACCCTTCTTGGGGGAGGCCGGGGCTGTGATGAAAAAGCAGGGTGTGGATTTTTAGATAAATCAAAAAGCAGATGTTTTTAAGGTAAAGGTTTTTGGGGGGTTCTATACTCTTGATTCACTGCACTGGTAAAAGGCTATATATATTTGTCCCGATTATACCTCAGCGTCACGATGCAGGCACCGGAGACGCGGGCTCCACTCCTGCTGTGCGTGCGTCATAAGGATGTCATTCCACGTTTACGTTTTGAGGTGTGACTGGTTAAATATTGATGAAGATTTGTAAGCAAAAGTAGGATATGCGTCGGAGCGAAAGATCTATTCCTTTGTGCCTTACGGTTGTGTCTCACAAAGAGCCGGACTTGCATGGGGTTCTGAGTTTATATTAATCTCAGAATTAAGATAAAAACAGCAAGAAGAAAAACCCTTCAGTAATTCAGTTTGGGTTTTTTTTCATAGAATACTCAAATTTCCTCCTTGCTGGTCATCAGCAATAGGACACAATAAGCGATGGCTGCAGGTGACTAACTTTGCTGCTATATTTAAAAAAAGCATTCATCACTATGGCTGGGCTTTGGGGTTGGTTTTTTTTCTTCTCTTTGGAAAAAACTAGCATCAAGTTAGTTTTATGTTGTTCATCAAGGTGCTGTGTTAAATGGGTTGAGCATTTATTCTCATGTGAATAGTCCAGGTGTTCTGTTTATTTAGGGGGGTTTATCAATAATCATAAAGAGCTGCAAACTCCTCCAGGGATGTCTGTTGGATTGATGCTTGTGTTATAAAATAACTAATCTTGGCTCTTTGGAAGGAAATGCTGTGCGCTCACGTTTGCGTGGGATTCCTTGAACGGTAACTGAAGGACAGCAGCTTGCTCAGCGCGGTGGGAAATGGCACTTTACATCCTCACGGGGAACGAATTACCAAAAATACTTGTTAACAATAAACTGCACTACAGCGAATTTTTAGACAATTTGCCGAGTATGTTGGATGCACAGGGCGCTGCTGGAGCCGGGCAGCTCGGGGGGATGCCTACGGGCGGGGG